CTAAAATATAATACTAGCAGGGTTCTATCCACCTCCGTATCAGTTATATGAGGCACAAGGGTAAAGGGTCACAATTTAGTAAAAACTTGTCCAATTTTCCATAGACACAGAAACAAAAAAGCTAATGTCTTTATTAGCTATAAATGATTTAATTTATCAGTTTGCCAGATAAAGGGTGAAGAGTATGTATATGTATTCTTAAAAATCTATGGAAAAAGTGATAATGATAAAAATAATTGATTTTTTTAAATTTTTTACCTAAGAATACCCTTCCAAAGGGCTATTACTTATTTTTAGGAATACTTTTCCTAATATTTGGTATATATTAAAAATTTTTGTATGTTGGCTTGGCACTCATCTAAGAAATTGAAAAAAAATGCATATAGAAAAATTTTAATGAATTTTTCATTCTATTTTCGAATAGGCTGAACCTGAAAAACCCAATTAGCTTTGTGTTTATATAAACAAATCGAATGTTATTTAAAAAATCAAAATCGCTTCATCCGTTCTCTCAAAAATTAGGAAGGCAAATTAAAACTCATATTTATTTTACATTTTATGCATTATATAGTATTTATTTGTTAGTATAAATATGATAATAAAATAAATAAAATAATAATAATAAAAATACTAGTATACAACTGTTGGAATCAGCCACTTTTTGGCTATAATAAATTATATATAAATAATAGAATAAATACTTAAATTTAATATTTTCTCTACTTTTCTAATTGTTCACACTTTCGCTAGAGTCGAATCCACTTGTCAGATTTGACACTTTTTCTGACATTGAATCATCTTGGGTTGCTGAAAAATTAAAAAGATTTTATTATATATTTTCACATTTTTCATGCTTTATTTATTGTTCAAAGCAACTAACCTATATTATGATTCTCTGCGTTATTTTGATTGGGTGTAAATATTTTTCCCGATGCTTCAAAATCAGGCGGTGTGATTCTTTGAGGAATTGATGGTGCATTAATATTATTCTTAATTTCGCTCGACGGTGCTTCTACTACAATTGGTTCAAGAGAACTTGCGGCTGCTACTTGTTCATCCAAGTAACCATACGGCAAATCGGATCCATAAGAATTGACAAGTGGTGTCCCGTAGTTGTTAAATGGGGCATATGGTAAAACATTCACTGGTGGAATTTCTTCGGGTACTGCGTATTGGTATACTGGTGCAGGATAAATGGCAGGATCAGGATAAACAGGCAAATCAGGCACAACTCCAAAAGATGGCGCTGGAACCACTACGTCGCTGTATAGTTGAGGATAAGGTTGTGGAAATTGGTAATTAGCTTGCACTTTTGGATAATTAGGCGACATTACTTGTCCAGGTTGTTTCACTTCTTCCTGCTTTGGTTCTTCGCCAAAGCTGAAGAAGGAACCAATTCTACCTAAGAAACTGCTTGAAGGCTTGGTATTTACTGCTGAAGTAGGAGCATTAAATAAAGCAGGTTTGCTGTTTGGCGATTGTGTGATTGGAACTTTGCGCGGATCTAACAACAATGGGGCATTATTGTGATATAGATTTTGAGGAATTAAGAAATTTGAATACTGGGGTTGAGAAACTGCAAAGGTATGCAAGTTATTAGGCGGTGCAAAGTTCGAAACACTAGGATTAGGCAGAATTGCGTTTTGTACATGATTTTGCTGTACCATCGGTGCATGTTGTTCTGGCATTGCTGGAGGCTGTTGTTGCGAAGTACTTAAATAAGTCTTAATCAACTCAAGTCCATCTTCAGTTGCTGCAAGTTCAAGAATTGCGTTCACAGTTTCTTTATCGGTATTAGTTCCCAACAAAACACTTGCGTCTTTTAAGCTTGGAATATTGGTAATTCCTACTTTTTTGAGAGAATCAATCAAATTTTGTAAATCTTGGGGGTATGGATTTCTAGTTTGTGTTTCTGGCAAAGCATTTGGATCTTTAAGTCCTGGTATTTTGTTTATTGGAATAGGTTGTAAACGCAATCCATTATATTTGTGGAAACGAAAAGCAGGAGGAAATTTTTGTGGATTAGGAGAAATTGTTTGGGATTGCGATAAGGGGGCGGGGGTTGTTGAACTGCTACTTCCAAACAAAAATGAAGGCCACTGGAATGAACGAGCTTGTCTTGAGATTGGTTTGGCCGATATCAAAACGACCAGACAACCCATACAGAAAATTAGAAGTGATAGCTGAAATATATACACAGCGCAATTTAGTTTTATAATAGTATAAATTAATCTCAATCCAAATCCAAAATCACGCATTAATTTAAGACATACGAAAGTTAGTAACTGATAAACAAACATTTGATTACATAAATTTACTTCTTTCTAATTAATTCTTATAATATAAATGTAAGAAGCGTAGTTTTATAGAAACAAGTCTGTGTAATGAGTTACTAATGATTTATAATTATTGAATGAAGCACAATTAAGCGTAAAGGTTGAATTTTTTAATTAGTTAATATAGCTGCTCTTTTAAAATATATGCACTATATACACTAAACCATCATAATATAATAGGGCACTAATGTATTGTCCTATTTTTTATGATACATAATTAAACATTTCACTGCTTATCAAATATTTGTTCGACACAATATTAAAATATGTTCTAAGCTATCTAACACAATACTTCATTTTTTCACAAATAAAACTTACGTGTTTCAGAAACATGATTGTAGTCAATATTCGATATTTTAGTTCCTTTTAGCACGGTATCACATTAAAGAATCACTTCGTTCACTGGCAATTGTTATTTACTCTGCTAATCGTATTTAAATGAACTACCAAATAATGCATACCGTCATTTATACCTATATTTTGGAATGTATTTGCAAATATGTAGGGTAGGGACAGTGAAATTGTAGTCTGTCTCAATATTTTAGATATTTGACCTAATTTAATCATAAAATTTATAGAAAATTATTTATATATATATATATATATATATATATATATATATATTAAACACATGAGATTTGGATTTGTGTGTTGTTTTGAGGTTCAAGCTAGGAATTCAGTAAATAAAAAGCAGCAAGTTTTTTAAAAAAAATGTTTGCTTATTGACCACGCTCATGAACTATGTATTTTCCACCTTTAGGACATGTGACATGAAATTATCTTAATTAAAATATAAACTAGCCATGCGTGGCATCGTGCCTTAAGACAAATTGCTCGAACTTTAAATACCCTAATTTAAATTTCATTTTTTGAGAATTTAGATTTTTTTGAAAATTTTGAAAAAAAAATGTTTTTTTAATTTTGTTTGCGTTTGTAAGTTTTAAAATTTCATAAAGTTTTGAAATTTTCTGAAAATTTTAAAATCTGTACGGGTGATCTATTCTATCGAAAATGACGAGAACATCTGTCAGGATTATATAAATGAACTTTAAACCTTACAGATCTTGGTACGGAACCCAAAGAAGTGTAAACAAAATTTGTTCTTAATATTATGATCTTTATCAAATATCCAATAATATAAAGTGCATATGTGTATGTGCCAAATGGCATTTTTTAACATTTTTTTGGATCTTTTAAACCGCTGGATATGACTTGTCAATTAATTCTTCATTCCGTCAATACAAGTGAAATGATTTTTGAATCATTCAAATCGGACGCTCGGTTCTCTTATAAACTGACTTGCCATTTTTTGTAGTTTTTGTCTCGTATCTTAGAAAACAATAGGCTTGCCTTTCCTAAAAATAAAACAAAGATGCCTCCCTATCAATAGGAATCAAATGTTTTATAAATCTTCAAATCGGTTGATCCGTGCTTTCGAAATCGTGGACGAAAAATTGAATAAAAACATACATTTGTTCATACTGCACATACACACATACATCCATATTTTCTAATTGTGAAGTATATCAAAAGTTTCAGAAAATTTTCAAACGTAAAAATATCCAAAAAGTTTCATTTTCGTTTTTTTGCGATTACTACTACGGGAAAGTAAAACAAAACTAATTTAATGAGAATCATAAATGACTAGATTATAATATAATATTTAATAAAACTTAAACAAATGAATTATGAAAAAAATCAAAATAAACTACAGTTTTAACTAAAATTTAAACTACCAGTTTTAATGTTAATAAAAAAGTTAAAAAGGGAATGATGAAAACAAAGTTAGTTGTTACTAGTTCGACTAATATGAACAACTTTGTAGATTTTTATAAAAACAATTAAATTTTTATTTACTTTCATTTTTCGTTTATTCAGTATATGCAAACTTGATTAAAAATAAATAAATAATGATTAAAAATGAAATATATCATATAATATTAATATATTTGTAATTTGTAATTAAAATACTAAATTGATATTTTATATATTTTTACATTATAGGTTATTTAAAAAGGTTATTCCCTGCAATATAAATATAAATTGTATATAAATTAATGTAAGTTAATAGTTAATATTAATCTAATATTGATCGAATCTAAATCTAAAATAATCATTTATTCGAATGCAATTAAATTTAATTAGTTCATAATTTTATATTGATTAATTTAAAATAGTACTAACTTATTTACTTTTAACAAATTGAACCGTTTTTAATTACTTTCACCTAATCGTAATCTTTTCTATAAGTACTTAGTTATTTACTTTAAATTACTCATAATTACAGTTATGGACTGTTGTGAATTTTGTGAAAGTGTTACTATATTTTCAAATTTCACTGTTATATATAAATATATATATATATATATATATATATATATATATATATATATATATATATATATATATATATATATATATATATATATATATATATAATGACTAATAAACACCTGAAATAAAGTTAATAAGCATAAAAATAATCAATTATAATAAAAGACAGTATTTATTTTAATTATAATATATTTTACACTTATAAACAGTTAAAAGTTTATCACTAAAATATCGTAAACTAGTTGATAAACATATTAATAATTATTAATAAAGTTATACACGTATTTATACAATTTTTCTTAATTATTTGTTTGCAATGACAAACCTATAAATATTAAAAGCATTGATAGGGTTGTCTATTCATACAATGGAATTACTAAAGTGCGAAAATATTCTATTTTAAAATAATCATGCATTATATATGGACGTAATAAAAATTAATCAAGATCCGTTTTTTGGTATTTTGTTTCGTTATAAATTGGATACAGGTCCGTCCAGACGCAACCTGGTGCATGGATTATCGACGTTATCATGTACAAAATTGCGTCTGAGGGACTGTTTCTTAATTTATTCATAATATCAAAATAGTTATTCATTTGCAAATTGTTGTTAATTCACTCGCGTTTGTTTATTTATAATTATATCTGGTTTTCTTCTCGATTTGCTATTTAACCTCTAGCAGCCTTTTGCACTTTCTGAAAATAGAGAATATAAATTTTTCATTATGGTAATCTGCAATTTAATGATATTTTATATGTTGCTTGATTTATTGCTATTTTATATAAAAAGCTGAGAGTATATGATGGTCAACTCTGAAGTAACCAAAAGTACAGCAAAATGAATAAATCTTTTTTTTGATCTTTTTCAACTTACTGCTGCTGGTAATAATTTCCTATCCGTTACAACACAATGAGAAACTGGGAATAATCCGTCCTTAAGCACACATACGCAATCACTGTGCATTTCAGTTCTACTAATTTGGTCTACCAAACTGTTTGATACCACACTGATGAAGTTCTTGTTTTGCTTTTGGGCTTTAGCGTGTTGGAAGTTCTGTACGGAATATACGTTTCCGTGACCCTAAAACACAATTAAGGTATTAAGAAAATAATTAATAAGTGGATACATTATTTATCATGTTGAGAGAGCTTTATTGCTTACCTTGAGTGCCAAATCAACAGATGGTTCAGGACTGTGGTTAACCTTAGATCTTAATTCAACACTTCCTGGTGATTTTTTCTTTGAGTCGTTAAGCGTGAAAACTGACTCAGTATTGAAACCTAAAATAAAACGAATCATTTTATTTGTTTTCATTTAGTATGCTGATAATGACCACTGAAAGCTACATACCAACAACGGTCTTCTCGTCCAATCCGCTAGTTTGAAGGTCGAGTGGTGCAACCAGGTTATATGTGATACCTTGGTATTCAGCAAATTTGCTGGCCAAATAGAATTTGATATCTTGGAACTAAAAAAAATATTACCGTATTGTGAGTAATCTAGTAGTGATAGAGTAGTGCAACTTAATTAGTTTCCTTACTGGTAATTTGGCGGCTTTAACATTTGTTCCGTGAATTCCAATAATTGTTTTGGTAGCACCAGCGCGGAATGGATATTCAACAGCATCATCATATGCAGCATAAGCAGAAGTCAATCCAAATTCATATTTTACGTCATTCACAAGCTTAGCAATAGTTTCGATAAGTTCATCAAGTTTTTCATGTCCAGTTTTCAATGGTGTAGCTGTTTGTTCATCATTTACGGCTTTAACGGATCCAGGTTTACCACGGAAGTTGATCTTGCCTATTGATATTATACTCATTCATAACAATTCAAAGTATGACTCTAATTATTTTTATCAATTATTCTATAATTTACCTCCAGATGTGAACAAGGCTGGGTATTTTTGATTTTCGTTGAAACCAATAACAGCAACGTGAGTATCTGTAATACCACGAGTTTTGAGATCAGCCAAAAGTTGATTCAACAAGGGGTGGAATAAGTCTCTAATGATAGAAGTATGAGCAGGTTCAGTCTCGATAACAAAAACAATGTCGGCTTGTTTTCCTGGTACCTTCACACTGAATGGATCTCCTACATTGATGTTCTTCTCGCATTTACCTGCATGATATATGAAATGCACAACATCAATTATGCTTACATCTGAAAGATTTTTTACTAAAAGATTCATTTACTTACCGCATTCTTTGGGTGCAGAAATTGGAATCCATTCGTTTCTGCAAGATGCTGTGTAGATTTGAGCAATGCTACAAGCCGCTTGTTTGGGGTTCTTGGAAGAAGCTGCAGCGTGTTGGCAAGCCTGACGGAATGGAGCTGGATCAACGAATGGGAAGCAGGAACGCATGCGTGTGGCACCAGAGAAGTAGTCGCAGTTAGGGCCACCTGCTCCGTGATGATGTTCGTGTTCATGGTGAGCTGGTGCAGCAACATCAGGGCAGCTGTCTGACATCTTGTAAGAGTTTCCAAATTCGCTTTCCTTTGTAGTAATCTATAATCGAAGTAGAACAAAGTTATGCAAGTGATACGCAAATTTAATTGTTATGCTATTTTTTAACGACTTACAGCTCCGGATGGAAGTTTGAAGTCGTCATAGGGCTCACTGTTGCCATTTCCTAAGATACCATGTAATTTGCCTAAGTAGAAACCGTTCACTTCAAAGCTGCAGAGCTATAATAAATCATCAAATTTATAAATATGCTGTTTGACCAAAAAATATACAGAAATAGTCAATATACTTTACCGATAAATCATTGTTGCAACGGACATGTACTCCGTATTTGCTCAACAAATTAACAGTGTGGAATTTCCTCCAAGCGTGGATGTCGTTTTTGTGAGCAGGCAATTCTGCTGGAGCGCCATTAAGAGTGACCTTAAATTTTAAATTTTAATTGAAATTATTTTAATGGTGGCGTGATTAAAAATTCAAAATATCGCTTACAGCTCCTTGATCAGTGATTTCAATAACGTCGTTTTTGTCAGCCAATGTGATCGATTTAATTGCTCCATTTTGAAGGTTTGCGACCAATGTGAAGTTTTTGTCGACGAAGTCTTGAGCCAATACGTAACTGCATGATCCTGGGAATGTTAAGTGTCTTCTATCGAATGTGAAGAAGTGTTGACCATCAGCGACGTAACCGCGCACTGTAAAATATTCATGATTATTATACATAGAGTCAGTCGTAGATAATTTTACCATATTTGAACTTGATTTACTTGGGAATGGTGGCAATAATGACATGGGATTCATAGTTAAAGGTTTAACCATGGCTTGAACGTCTTCTAATGTTGGTATCTTGTTGTACCGCAAAAAGTTGAGAGGACTTAGTCTCAATGAAGTTAAATCGGGCAATTTTTGCAGACCGCTGAAGGTTAGTGGAATCTATAAATTAAAATTTCAAATTAGCTTTTACTAGTCGCAGAAGTAAAATATTATAGAAAACTTACAGGTAATCCCAGGAAACCTCCTACTTGTGGTTCAGCAATCATGTTATCTTGAAGAAGTTTCAACAAAGATTTGGCGGCCTTCAAAAGTAATTCGTAAATTGATTTCAATTGCTTGATATCATCTACAGGTTCTTGTTTCAATTTCTGAAATAATAATTTCGTTAATAAATTTACATTAATAAATACTATAACAATGCATCAACAAATTAGTTTACTTTAAGTGATCTAAATTTACCTGCTCTAAGTAATTGAATATTTGTTGGAAAGCTGCTTGTAGTTCAGGGGTTGGTAAAACATCATTTACAGTGCTAACAACCTCAGCTAAAATTCTGTAAACTTGTTCAGGTACAGTCACTCCAACGACCATCTTGGAAAAAATTAAAATGATTAAAAATAAAACAAAGCTATCTCTGACTGGATTCAAGTTTGTGAGCTGTGTTAAACTCCAATCAAGAAAGTTAAAATGAACACTAGATTAATTTATAATTTATGATTACTTATACATATTGTCATGTATTATTGGCTTACCTCTTCGTATTTTTCTTTCAATGTAGAGATAACTGGAATTGATTTTAATTGTTCGTAGGCGACTTTAATGAAATCTTCTAGTTCATGTTTGAATTGAATAAGTCCACGGTTGACGATTTTACCAAAATCTGCAAAATATTAAGGATCTGATAAGTTCATATAAAACTATATTTAATTAAGTTTGATAAAAATACTAGTTTGATACAAATAGTCCAATGCAGATATGTTTCAAATGTATATATATATATATATATATATATATATATATATATATATATATATATGTTATAGTTACCTTTTAAGAAATCAGATACTGTTGCTGCAAGTTTGTTGAAATCTTCCTGGTGGCTCTTAACCCAGTCAGTGAATTTCATTAAGTACTCAGTGGCATAGTTGAAGAGAGTTTGCATGAAATCAGTGGCAACAGCGGTAATTTTCAAGTAGGATTCGCGTAATTGCGGAATTATCTGGATGTTTGTAGCAATAAAAATTAATTAAACGTATTGAATAAAAAATATCTATTGAATTTTGAATACGTACCTGAGTATTTAACAAGTGTGCTGTTTTCTCATATAATTCTTTGATCATTTCCGTGATCTTTTCGAGTCTTTGTCCAACATTTTTCATGATGTCAGCAACAGCTTGGAATGTAGCGCCAAATACCTTATTTCTAATATAAAATATAATAAATGATGATTTGTTGATTGATTGATTATAGTTGATAAATATTCAAAATTACTCACAAGAATTCAGCAAATTCTTTAATGGATTTATCTGCCAACAATTCTTCTTTGATTTGGTTAAGTTGTTTTTGATAATCTTCAGCTAATGGTTTGAAGTCAGGTACGTATTTCTTGGCTGTATCAGTAAATCTCTGTACACGAGCTTGGATATCGTCAGCTGCAGTTTTCATTGTATTTTTCAGATTTTCGCCAGCTTGCTTAGCTTCACCGCGAATATTTTCCTAAAAATTATCAACAGATTAGCATATTTCAAAAATTTTAGTTAAATTTAGGCCAAATATTTACCAAATGAGCTTTAATGTTTTCGGTATTAACACCAAAGTCTGTTTTCAAGAAATTAGCATCATCAAGAAGTACTGAGCTATGGAACAAGTCACGACGGTTGCGGTTGTCAATTACTTCAGCGCGAACTTCGCCAGCTTTTCCGAGGACAAGACTGCTTACGAATTGCAAGTATTTTTGTGGGGAATCTAAAATATATAAAAAATATATTTTATTTGATTTATTACATTTATTGTAAATCTTCTACCTTGGCGACCAGCAGTGTACTTCAATGTATTGAAGTCGCTAGCTTCAATTGTATATTTCATTGGAGGAACACCGATAGTTGTAACTTCTGAGTCAATCTTTTGATATTTCTCATTCAAATCTAATTTTGAGTTGACGTGGACCAAATCGCCATAAGGAGAACGTACTAATAATTCAACTTGGTGTAAATTGGCAGAAATAAGGAATCCAGCAGATTTAGTTGGATCATGGCGACACTGAAGCATAGAACCAATTCCGAAGTCCTTGTCAGTTACAGCAAAATGTTGATTAACAGCAAAGTCAAGAGAACGTTCCTGTAAATAATTTTTAAAATAATTATTTTCATATTTATTATATTTATGTAAAAAAATCTGATACTTTGTTATTTATTAATTACCTTATTGAATACGTTCAATTCAGAAGTTACATTCACACCGCGATCGCCTAAGTTAAGGCTATTTAATACTCCTCGGACTTCGAGGCTCTGAGCAGTTGTTGCAAAAACATCTAATTTCAAATGGAAGTCACCATTACGTACGGCACCATCAAAGTTTGCATTTCCACTAACTAGCATAGTTTTAACACCAGGATGCATAAATTTAAGATAAGCTTGTACGGCTGCCTTTTGGTTGCTATATGTAGGGTTAACAGAGAGCATGACGCTTGTTTTTTGATTAGGGTCTTTAAGTTTATTCAGATAAAGTGAAAGTTCTCCATTCACTGGACCAATTGCGTTAGGTCTTGGAATATCGAGATTTCCTTCAAGAGCAATAACTCTCTGTGGTAGAGTCAAAGTGACACCAGCATTTTTGGGATGTACGTATACACTATATTGGTATTTCGCTTTATCTTGCGAGTGGAAGTGCATATCAACGGTATGGTCGAGAACCAGATCACGTAAGTGTGTGGTAGCTTTCAATCCAAACTCATGAGATAGACCAAGTTTGCGCAAATCGATGCTTACTTCAAGTTCATGGTCCAAAACGTTAATATCTATAATTTGACATTAAAGCATTTAATTAACATTAAAAAATCATAAATAATTTTAATAGATATACAAAACATACCTTCATTTTTAACAATAGAGCTCAAGTCGATGTGTGCACATTCTTGTTTTGGTTCACAGTATGAATTTGCCATTCTAAATTGTTTGTTGGTAAGTTTTAAATCTACAACAACGTTCTTTTGTCCATAGCCCGCATTCAAAACCATCTATTAATTTAAAAAGAAACATTTAAATAAAAAAATTTAATAAAAACTATGTAAAACATTTATTCTTAGCGGTTTGGTTCAACATTTTACCTGTACTCCTTTTTCGTTATCCTCACGAACGTTGTTATACATGTACTTGAAATTAGCAGAGTGAGGTGTTTCTTTTACTGTAACGGTTCCAGATCCTTCAACTATATATTTGCCTTGCTCTTGTTTCTTTTGGAATGTGGTTGAACCACTCACAATGTTTTTATCTCCAGATTTAGCAGAAACTTCAACGATGTTACCCGAGCCTCCTTTTTTACTTTCGATTGTCAAATGTATATCATTCAAGTTCAACTTAGGTGAGTCAACATGTACCTAAATTACAAATGTTGTATTACATAAATAAATTTTATAGATAAAATTATTTAAATAACAAATAGCGTTTTATAAGGCAATTAGTTAGTAAAGAACCTAAAATCCTTACCCTAATCAAGCATTTTTCTACATCTTCACAGTCTGCGTCTCCAGTGGCGTGTAAATTGAAGTCATAAACTTGTTCGATTTTAAGCTCGCCATTTACTTTTCTTTCGCCCAAACGTTCAAATTTAGATAAGAATCGAGATTTTTTGCCATCTGGATAAACAAATTTGACATCTAAAGATGGCGCAGTTTCAATCAAGTCTAAGTCAACAACTGCTCCGTATTTTCTTTGATCAGCCTGCAAACTGATTTCAGTGTGCGTAGCTTTGCTCTCCTTTTGTTTCTGTAGAAACATGGTAAAATGAGTTTGAATAACTTCTATTGCATATCAATAAAATTAGAAGCATATAATACTTACTTTATGTAAGAGCTTGAGATCAATGTTGCGGGCATTATCTACAGGTGTAGATACGGTCAGGTGTACATCTAAATCGGTTCCAGGAACAAAGTTGACGAGTGCATTCATCTTGACTTCCTTGCCTTGTGCATAAACTACATCTAAGCCAACTTTACATTGTTTGACATCTGCAAAAATTGGTTTTTGGATTGTTATAACAAATTTATCATTACATTAATTAAATATTTTATTAAAATTTTTCAATATATACCTTTTTTGTCATTATGCTCGTAGGTAGTACCGATGCTAAATGGAGCTTCATTTGGTAATTCAACAGTAACTTTAGCAGAACCTTTGTTCTTATTACCTCTTAATTCGCCATTACCCTTAATAGTTTTGTCGTTTAATGTAGCAGCATTAAAAACTTTGAACTGTAATAGTTAATATAACGTATATAATGCTGATTTCCTTATAAATATTGATTTGAATTTAAATTTATACCTCATAATCATCATGATCTCCTCTGGGTCGTTTTACAGAACCATCGTGTTCAAGTTTAAAGTGTTTGAATTGTTCATTATTAAAATCACCTTGCATAAAGAATTTATTTGAAGCTCCATCTTCTGATTTTGCTAAATCTCCATTAACAGATAAACGACAAGAATCGCCATATTTGCCATCAACTGTATATTTCAACTTCTCTGGTCCATATTCAGCACTTGTTTTATAATTGATTGGTTTCAAAACAAAGGTTCCATCCAAAAATATCTGTAATAAATAATTTTTATTATTTTGTCCAATGAAAATGAACTTTAGTTAGGTAAACATGTAACTCACAGCTCCGTCAAATTTGTATCCATGACCTCCTGCCATTGCGTGTTTGAAAGCGCCTTTATATTCCAAATACTTTTTGCTATTGCCACTTAATTGAACTTGAGCATTGTAATCAAACAAATATTTTGTAATGTCATCAATGGTAATTTTAGCTTTTCCTTCATATTTGTAAGGCTCGGCTCCCTTTTTCTCGGCAAAGGATAAACTAACTTCGGCTTCACCGTTAGTTGATTTACCGTCATGTTTGACATCTCGGAATAGCTTTCCGTCAAAGTAGAAACCATTTGGTAATGTCAAATCATATTGACCCTTCATAGTACCAGTGAAAAAGTTACCAGTTTTTTCTCCATTGAAGTTAAGTTTTGTAACATACTGTCCAACTTCAAGAACGTTGCTATAAAAATAATATTAGTTATCTTTATATACTTAAATAGCATTTGTATAAATAAATTGCACGATAAAAACCTGGATTTTAATCCTTTGCCCAATTCATTGTTGGTGAACAAATGAATTTTCTTAGAGTTGTCTTTATCGGCGTCATAGAACAGATTACCGTCGAAGTTAAAAACTGGGGAAGCAATATTGAATGTGGCATCTCCTTTGAATTTTCTGTTCAATTTTACGAGCTCCACAAGTGCTGATCCTGATCCTTTACCTTGAGAACTAGTAAATTCGGACTTGGCGTTCACAAGATCTTTTACGTTAAACTGGATAAAATATTTGAATTATACTTTAAATTCACTACCATAATTTTTATATAATTTTAAATTATAATATTTACCCTGAAAGTTCCCTTTGGATCGGGGACACGATCAACGTCAACATCAACGTCAACTACTGGAGCATTATCGGCTGTTATTTTCAAGTGAGATTTTGCTTTTCTGTCATTAAATTGAGTAGCGTAGTCTGCGTCATAGGTGTTTGGTTTGCCTGGGACTTTCAAAATTCCTTTGAAAGCAGTTTCGTAATCTTTAGGAGAATTGAAAGTGACTTTGCCATTTATGTCTAATTTGCCACCATTACTAGTGTCCATATTTAAATGGTATGTAGATTTAATATCGTCGATAACATTACGTTTTGATTTCACTACCAAATAGTTCTCGTTAAGCTGGCCCTATAATAAAATACGAGTTTTAGGAAAAATGTCCTTATATTTTATGTCAATTTATTATATTTTATATAAAATAAGTAAATTACCTTAAAATCAAGGTCATAATCTCCTTTATGTTTATTATTCACTAATGCCTTAAGATGAGAGTATAATTTTGACTTATCATCTGTAGCCTCTAATTTATATTCAGCCTTCTTTTTAGAAACAGCTCCATCCAATTTAACATTGAGTTTGGCCATTGGGTAAGTAACTACTCAAAAATATTTTCGTTATGTACAACACTTATTACATCAACAATTAATAATTGCTTTTTCATATTAAACTTACGGATATTTCTTGCAGAAACGTCGAAGTTAGGATTTCCTACATCTTTATATTTAAGTTGTTGTTCTAATTCTAAACGATTTTCTTTAGAGTTAAGATCAGTTCCATGAGTTAATACCAAATGGTGTTTGAGCTGAAATTTATTGAATTAATAATAAATATCAACGAATTACATTTGTTTTTTTCTCTTATTTTTTACCTCATCTTCTTTTTTGCCGTAATCATAGTTTACACGGAAATCTAAATGTGGATTGAATGAATTATGTACTTCGAAATCAGTTATTTTACCATTTAATCCTTCGAACAGTTCTAATTTACCCTTGGCACTAACAAACTTATTTTCCTGTAATTAACAAAAAAATGATTACAATTTCAAATGATAGTGATCTTTTTAATTTATTATATATAAATAAATTTAGCATACGTGTGAAACTTTAAGGTTTCCGTCTATTGCTTGTTTTCCTTTGTGACCCATATAACCTTCTACACGAAGAGGAGCGTTTTGTCCAGGAATAGCAACTTGAATTCCCTCGAAGTGGTATTTTGACCAGCCATCTCCTCGCTCGACGACAATTTGACCTATTCACAGGTTACAATTATATATACAATATACAGTATACAATTATAAGATATTATATATTATACATATATATATATATATATATATATTTATATATATATATATATATATACAGTGCTGGATTTACAGTAGGGGCAATCGGGGCTACTGCCCAGGGCGGCAAATTTTGGGGGGCGGCAAAGTTTGGTTAGTGAGAAAAAAATTCTATACAATATAATCAACTTTTTTAACAACATTTTTTATTTCAAGAAATATAATTAACAAAACATAATACGATTGCAATGCAAAATTTGGGTTGAAATAAATGTTAATTAAAATTTATTATTTTGCCTAGCCTCTATCTCCGAACGTAAATTATCAAATTGGTTATTAAGTTATCAAATTTGGCAATTAGGCTAATATAAAGATCCGTAAACAAGGTGAAAGTTTAAGAAAAATTTGTTCTTCAGTTCTCGAGACCTCTTAAAATGACGTATTTGTGCACTTCCAAGCTTATATCGTCGAAAAAAAAAATTTAAACTAGTGACTCATGGCATTTTTCCTCAAGACAAATTACTGAAACATCCCTTACTAAAAATTACATTTTATAAAGAGTTTTAAATTTTATTGAAAAATGAAAAAAAAGACTTCTAAAACACATTTTTTGTATTTTGAAATTTTTCGAAAATTACGAACTTTTTACTAAGCAATCGCGCTACGTAGCTGTTTCAGAGAAGAAATATCGAAACTCAATTACCATTTTTCGTAATTGCCTGTACCAAAAGCTAATCGGCACGTCTCCCCATCAATACAAATCTAATATTTTTTAATTATTCAAGTCGATTTCGAGAACACAGATCAACCGATTTATGATTCAATTCCTATTGATAAGGAGACGTGCGATTAGTTATTGGTCAAGGCAGGTCCAACTGTTTTGAAGATACGGGCCAAAATGCCAAAAATAATAATTGAGTTTTTGAGAAAAAAGCGACCAATAACATTAAAAAAAAATTACACAATAAATAACTGCTGAAATTTATGGGGGGCAGGTTTAGCGGTTTCGATGGTTCAATAAAAAAATTTGAAAAAGAAACATTTGGCGGACAAAAGTGATCATAAGACATAGACACATTAAATTATCAGATATTTTAAAGATATTATAATAATAAGTATACATTTTGTTTACATTATATAAGTTCTGTAACATTGTTTATCCGTTAGACTGCGACGCGGCGCTTACGCGCTTCTATATTTTATCCCTCGCAGCTGAAGCAGCGCGATTGCTTTAAAAAAAAGTTCGAAAATTCGTAAAATTTCAGGGATGGGGCGGCATTTTTGTCAGTGCCCCGGGGCGCCAAATTTCTAAATCCGGCCCTGTATATATATAAACAATGAGTGTCTTTTGTATAGTTATTTTTACCGTCAACTTTATATTTGGAATCTCCGCCAGCTTGTGGAGCTCTGAATTCCACGAGTGGTCTGTAAGCCTTCTTGTTAGATGGACCAGAAGTTTCAGCTCCAACCTTGGCGTAGTATTCTTCTTCACCATTTCTTAATGACACAGAAACACCAACTTCTTTGTCTCCTTCGAGAACTTTAGCTTCTAGTGCAGCATTTCTAATTGGGGAGTTCAAAGTTACCTTCAAAACTTTATGGGGTTCCATCATGGCATCAACATTGAATGAAATGGTTCTTTTAGTTTTGGAGTTAGGTGTATCAAATAATAATTCCAAAGTGCGATGTTTAGGATCTGTGAATATAAATTTAATTTAAAAATATGATAAAACGTATAAAATTTCTGAAAATCGTAGAACTTTCAAAATACTAGTACCGTCAAAGTTTTTAAGAAGTCTGAAATGGTATTGGTGCAGATCTTCTTTTTCAATACGTAATGATAGTGTGCTTGGTCCATTGAATGGGAAGGCGAGACCACCTTCAGTTGGCAAAGACAAAGAAATATCAGCATCTCCACAGAAAGTTAATCCAACGTACGGACTTAATTGGTCAAAGCAACCGTGGTAGGCTTTCCTAAATTCCATTCATTATTATAGTTTTTATTGGATAATAAAATAATTTGAAATTAAATTGTCTTTTAAATTTACTTACTTGTTAACGTTGAACTTCAAAGGTGTTAGGTGAGCTGGGTGACCTCTTTCTTGGGTTGAGAATAATACTTTGTGACTGACACTGAAGATTTCTTGTTTCTCTATGGGCAATCCAACTTTAACGTCAATTCCATTGCCATTGTTCAACATATTGAATTGAATGTCGGTTCCGGTTGATGAATGCAAGTTACCTACGACTTCTAAACCAGTGCTCACTACTTGAGCATCAACAGACAAAGCTCCAATGATTTCAATGTTAGCGCTATAACGAAAGATATTTGCTGATACATATATATATATATATATATATATATATATATATATATATATATATATAGTGTTACCTTGGTACGAAGAGCAATTTAAATTTGGCGTTCTTAGGATCTTTTATTATTCTGTCGAGATCAATATGTCCACTGGTTTCCAACTTCATGGTTCCAGTACCTGTAACACTGACTTTCAGGGGAATTCCAACGCTTGTAGGATATGCAACTTCGACGTCCAAGAACATAACATTGCCGTGGCAGTTGTGCTGTAATGATTATAATACTGTAAATTATTTGCCATACTATAAGCAAAAATAAGTTTATTAATTTTTCTGTACTTACTTTGAAGTTTCTGATGCTATTAACTCCTTTTTCAAGATGGTCGAAAATTTCGTTTATTAAAGCCTTGGGACTGAAATGAGAAGCTTTATCACCTAAACTCAAGAAAAAGAGTTCAGATCCAAACATTTTGATGTCTAAATCCAAATCCAATTTCGAATTGTATTTTTCCGTGTTTTTGCTTTGGAAAGCTTCAACTTCTTGGCGAGTGGAACGCTTGCCTCTTCCTGCGCTATCTAAGCGAGATTTATATTCATGGCGCAATTCCTCAACAGTGGACTTAGCTTTGTCAAAAACTTCTTGTGGTGATGATCCACTAAATACTCCTTTAGGTCCAAAGTAATGCTCGATAACTAGGTCCAAATTTTCTTGGCGAGCAGATAATTCTAACAAGTTAAAACTGTGGCCAAATAATTCTCCAGTTAAATTCAAGCTTGCTGATCTGGGCAAGAAACTCTTTTGGGAATAAATCACATTGTTTTCAACACTGGCACCCAAACCAAGAGAATCCATGGAATAGGAGAACTCGCTATTTGATGAGTAGCGTCTGAAATAAATATAATAAGTTTTATAATCTAATGAAAATATATCGTATTTCGACTAATAGAAAATTCAAATATATATTTACCTGAAATCAATTGGGAATTTTTTACTGGAATGTATCAGACCCAAGTGTTGTCTTGCCAATTCTCTGTGTGGGTTGGTTGATGCTCTGAGGTTATTTAAGTGCGTATATATGAAGGATCCAACTGTAAAAGATATAAAATTATGATTTAATTATAAAAAATGCATTTTTTAATCCGCAAACTAATACATTCAAATCATTAAAAATATTACCTTGGTTGACTGTTTCAGTATCCAATAAGTTTTTCAACTCGTTTGCAAATTGGGCAGTTGGGCATTGTACCAAAGCCAAGTATGCTTCAATCCTCAATTCTGAATCCAAGTCTCTGTTTTGCAAAATGGCTAATGCTTCTTTCATCAACTGTAAAATAAGAAAATGATGTTGTTTTAGGTGTGTCATACAAAAAATGTTTAAATGTAAAATTATTTACTTTTTTCTCGCAAGCGGCCCCTTGCACTGTCTCAAGGGCGGCGACACGTATCCTTACTGGTGTATTTTCAGATTTAATACAATGGGACACTTTGTCAACTGCAGAGCTTGCCAATCGATGCATGTTGCGTAAACCTTTAAGGGCTGCCAAAACCTACGTAAGAATAAAGTCTGAGCATAAAAAAATTTATACGTAACAATATATTTTGAACTTAAAAGTGATATCAGAAAATTTATGAAATCAGAAAATCAAATCTAATGGTATCTGCACATAATTTCCATTAAGATTGATTTAAATTATAATGTACAAACAAATATTTGTTCAAATTACCACATCCTCTTCATGTCTTGATCCTGCAGCGCAATTACCCAGTTTTTTGGCAAAAGAGTCACTGAGCTTTTGTAACTCATTTCCTGAACAGCTATGTTCGCGGCAATAGTGTCCAGCCAAAATACCAATTCCGAGTAAAGCTTCTCTGGGTGCTGATTTTTCCAACAAGTCCTATAATTTTTACATTATAATATGCTGCTAATAAAATGTTTTGAAATTAAATATTAACTTACAGCAACTGCGTTCAATGAAGGGGCGGTGACATGTTTTGCGTTAGCAAAACTCAAATAAGCCAATTTTTGCTCTTTGTCTGATAATCTCTTGTGAAGGATTAATTCTACGACGACTTCTACGGAGTCTCCAGTACCGGTACGGAACAAAGCATCCAAAAATACTTTCCTGGGAAAATATGAAGTAATAAAATATAATATAAAAATCTAAAGGAAATTTAATATAAAATGAATTGATTTTAAAAAAATGGAAGTAGTTTTAAATAGTATGATGAGTAAAAGGTATTGATATTTTTAGATTCATTTTTAGTTAGGTAATTCTTGATTAGTATTAAAAATAAAATAAATAGATAATTTATCTTCAAATGGAACTAGCAAATGATAAAATCAGTAATAACTAACTTGGCTGTTTCCTTGTCCTTGAAACCAGCTCCTGAGTTTACTTGTCCATAAACATTGAGCATATCAGCCTTATTGCTGACCCTCAATACACGGATCAAGTCGGTAAAATCTCGAGCAGAAGCGCTGTTGACATGGTTTTCAATGTGTTTCACGGTTTGTTTCAAAACATTTACGATGTTATCAGAGTTAGTTCCTACTGGAACAAGATGAGGATTTTCGAATATGATAGTGCGTGGTTTGCTAACTTGACTTCCTGGTGCTTCGGCTGATTTCTTTTGGAAAGTAAGACGGGTGACAACATGAGACTTGGCGCCTCCACGGCCAGGGGAGAATGGTCTGTAGTGGTAGTTTTCAGTAACATGGACTTTTTCCAAAATTCCATCTTTGAATTTTTGTTCGCTGCTATATTCGCCACTCAAAAGTGGAGTGGATTTTATAGCCTATTCGAAAAATAAATAGTATTTAATGTTTGCTTCATATTAAGTGTATGTGTGTATTTATATAAATCTAACAAAAATGTAATTATTAACTTCCCGTATTTTTTTCTAATTATTTCCTGTAAAGAAATTTCTGTAATTTAAATGTTACAAAGTCTACAAATATCTTTTTCTCAAATTTGTTATGTATTAAGAAATTCAGTGCCAAGATGTAAGTATTGAAATAGCCGTGAACCCTCAACCTGACAGATGTTAGCATAATATTTACATTGTATTAGAGATAGTGTTATCACTTGACCACTATCAATAGTTCAATATGGAAATTTTTAATTTGTTTTATTTTAATTGATATGATTCGAATCAAAAGTTTAATGCTTGTTTGCTTCACTTGTTTGTATTATTTATATATTCATCTGTATATTCGTATATAATATTTTTGAATGCAAAAAGGATTATTCGCAGTCAAGTTAATTTAAAAAATAAAAAACCTACAATTTATGCACATAATTTCAGACTTATTTGACGTATTTTAATTATTAAGACAATAATCATTAATAGGTTAAACCACTGTAGCAGCAAAAAAAGCATACATTTTTGCCATTTCTTTTCGTGCGGAAGGAAAATTAATTAAATCATAAATTTAAAATTAGTTATTAATTGTACTTTAAAGTAACTAAATAAAATATAATTGTAGAAACAAAAATAAAAAACGGCGGAATCACAGCCATATCGGCAAACCGCGTCAAATTGGAAGAGAACTTGACGAGAACTTCAATTCAAAATTGTTAAATTCCAACAAAAAAACGGATAGTAATTTTTTAATAATTAATGAACCAATCAACATATAAAAAATCCGCTATAATGCGCACTTAAAAATGTAAAAATTATAAATATACTGTGAAAAATTCGAATGATAAAAATTTAAATTGTTGTAGTTATTTAGCGTGCCGCGTTGAAAAATCGTGTTTCGAGAAAACGCGTTTAAAGTTCTAAAATAAATTATAGATAAAAAAATATTAAAAATTTGTCACTTTAATTTTTTTTACTATTAATATAATATCCCAGCAATATACAGATGCTTTGTTATGTTCATTTTTTTTTTTTCTTATTTTTTTTCATGATGATTTTGAAGCATGAAGCATCCTACTTTTGGCGCATCCCTCAAAGACCGTTTGGAATGCTTAAGACGTTTATAATCAACTTCTAGACAAAAATTATATGTTTAAATGCCAATATTAATCTCCAAAACTATTATCATTTAGAAAATATTGATTAGACCATCGTTGAAATTATCTCCCGTAATATCAGCCGCAATATAGTCAATTTATATATGTGTTGACTCTGCACTGATCATCTATTGGTTAATAAGACTTTTAGAGGTTAACAATATAAATGCTTTGTAATAATATATTTTAGTATATTTAAAAAGATGCATGTTGTCATTTTGCATTATAATGTTTTTTGTTAATATATTTAAGCGGTGTCGGTTCGGAGCAGTTCGACGCGCATAGAAAAAAGCTCATAATTACATGCAAAAAAAAGAAAGTTTTAGGTATGAAGTATTTTTCCTCATATTTTAAAAGGTTCAAAGTATATTATAACCCTAAAAAATTTTTTTTGGTTTTTCGAAAAATTTACAGTGGTGTAACCCTTAAAATAACATGTATTTTCATCTTTTTTTTCAAATACTTACTGAGTTGTCGTTGAAGGTAGTTGTAAGGAACCCTTGTTGAATGCTCTCTCTGTGGGCACAATCATTAAGTGAACGTGTTTTTGTGACGATATATTCAGGACCATTTTTGGAGGTTGACGTGTGAGTTGGACATACGCCGAAAACATCAGTTTCAGTTGGTCCTCGAGATGCTTGGAACAAACTAATAATAGCTCTCTTGATGTTCAAAGAATTCTGGTTGTCTCCTGGTTCGGCACAAATTTGGGTATCAACTTTACCATCGTTGAAGTTGAACCTTACGGGCTTGGTGATATCTTCAAGGCCCGGGTGTTTCTGCACGGATAAATGATTTATTATAAGAAATTCGTGAAATATTAATTTTTTGTTATTACCTATATTCTAATGTTTTACATAGATATTGTTTTGTATGATTATCTGAAAGATTATTCTTTACATAGATATTGTTGGTTGTATGATTATCTGAAGGAACTGATAGACTTTGAGACTCTATCATCCTCTTGATTATAATGCTTTAATTAGAAGTGAATTACACTGTTTGTTCAAATTGTATGTAATGAATGCGTGCTGATTTGCGATCGTTTAAATTGATCTATTTTTATTTGTATTCAAAATGTCTATATGATGGTGTCACACGTTCTACTTTGGCGTAGGCAGGTGCAAAAAAATGAATTTTATGAAAGGTTACTACTTTTATTACAATATTTTAATATTATTTATTATTAATCAAAATAATCGATAAATATAGAAGTAAACTAGTTGTAAGTGGAATTTTGTCTTAAGGCCATTAGGGCATCGTGCCTTAAGGCAAATTGCTGGAACTTCCCGTACCGCAATTCAAAATTCGAGTAATTAAAAATAATCAATAATAATAATCAATAAAAGTTGATCAATGATTTGAAACTTTTAATAGAATTTCAAACCATATTAAATCATTCTATCTTAAATCATTTATTTTGAAATATTTTGGAAATTCTGAACTTTTTTTCAAAGCAATCGTACTGCTTTAACTACATAAAGACGGATTATCAAAGCGCGTAAGCGCCGCGTCGCCGTCTAACGCGTAAACATTGGTGCGGAACCCATAGGAATGTAAACAAAATTTATACTTATTGTTAAAATCTCTATAAAATATCTGATAATTTGATGTGCATATGTCTAATGTTCATTTTTGACCGCCAAATGGCTCATTTTATTACTTTTTCCTCCATATCTCCAAAGTCGTTGGACCTGCCTTTCCAAAAATTTGAACAGTTCTTCATTTAGTCAATACAAATAAAATGTTTCTTGAATTATTCAAATCGGACGCTCCGTTCTCTTAAAAACTGAGTTTCCGTTTTCGGCACTTTTTGCCCCGTATCTTGGGAACGGCTAGACCTGCCTTTGCTAAAAACTAATCAGCCGTCTTCTTATCAATACGAATCGAATGTTTTTAAGTTATTCAAATCGGTTGATCCTGTTCCCGAAATCGTCGACAAAAATTTGTATCCGAACATACATACATACACGCACACACATACACACACACACACACATACATCCATTTTTTCTAAGGTGTGCCAAAATGTTCAGAAGGTTTTGAAACGTAAAGATCTATAAAAATTTTCATTTTCGATTTTTTTGCGATAAAAAATACACATTTATTATTATTTATTTGAACGAATTCTATAAGCCGTTTTAGTAATTTTCTAAACTACGTGTTTGTTTCTGAAACTCAACCAACTCAACGATAGACCCACTCCCATTTTATGTATTTTATTACAAGAAATTTTTAAATAGTTTAATTTAATGCAACAATGCCAAGGAAGGACTATTTTTACTTGAAAACATATTGCTATCTATATTTTTAAGTAAAAATCTCCGTCATAAAGCTCTAGACGATAATCCACGGAAAAGCCCACATTGCGTTATTCAATTTCCAAAGCTCAATAAACAAAATTTGATTAAAAATTATAATTTACCTTGTTGTCCGGCGACTGAATGACGACATTCTGCAATCGCAGAAGTTGGTCGCAATTCGGCAACTGGCTCAGCAGAACGGTACCATGGATTTTGAGGGATGTTTCCTGGGTATCGCCTCCGGATAATAATACTGATAGTGTACTGTCTAAGGCATATTCGTATGTATGTCCTACTTGATATGAGAACAGTGAACTCGCTGAAAGAATAATTTATTTTGAAACATTTGAAAATAATTATAAATTATGGTTACATATACAGTGTTAAATGTGCCCAATAAATTTATATTATATTTTGGTTGCTAGTAAGCTATTATTTTTTTAAAGGCCCTTCAAATTACCAAAAATAACACTAATTTGATGGCAATAGTCAATAATCAATCATTTTAATAGGAATTAAAAGTAGATTCATAATTAAATTTTAACTTATTATTAAGTCCAAAAAGAGTCAACATTGCTTCTGTGGTCATTTGGAGAACTGAAGACAGTCTCAGAGGGGCTCACATTCAATGCAAGCCCCTCAGTTGCATTTTGAGAAGCGGTGGATATCGGCCAATCGTCTCTATGAAGACCCGCATTTAGGTCCCCATCAATCATGAGAGTCGCATTGGTCGATATCTCCTACTTCTGCCCCAAGAAGCGCCAGACTCTTTAGCCATCCACCAATTAATTAAAATAATCGGTATATATACTTATAAAAAAAACGCTGTACCACGAAACGCGAGCTTAGTCGCAACGATTGTAAGTCATCTATGAAGCCTTCTTAGCTCATAGGATGCGTTGGTTCTGATCTCTGATAAAACTAATTGTTTGACAAGTTGCATGAATTTTCTGGGAAATTCAACTCTAGTTTAAATTTTTGTTTAGAACACAACATAAATTGCTCCAAGACTCACGAATAAAGGTAACGCCCTTTAAACTAATTTTTTAACATTTATTCAATGAGACATGAAATTCAGAATATGACGTTTAAAATTGTACAAATTAATGTGATACGTTTATTTTATTTCTTTCGTTTTTAAATTCTACAAGTATTGTTATGGAAAAAATGTAATGCATAATAATCTCGACATTGACTATTTAAGTTAACATGAATTGGTTTATTAACATAATACTCAGTTATTATATCATATTCATTATTCACATAATGAAATTTTAAACTAGTGGTTGCATGGTATCGTGTCTTAAGGCAAATTGTTGGAACTTTCCATACCATATTTTAAAATTTTTAAAAACTTTACAATTTTTTGAAAACTTTATAAACATTTGATTTTTGAGAATGTTTTTTTTTGAAAAATTCGATTTTACTTATATTTTAAAAATTTTTTGCAAATGTTGTATTTTTTTCAAAGCATACAATTGTTGCATAGCTATTTTAGAAATGAAATATCGAAGCACGTAAGCGTGATCAAAACATTCTATATCTTGGTACTGAACCCATAGAAATGCAAACAAAATTTGTAAAGATTTTTTTATTAACTTCCCGAAGGAGAAGTTTATGTTTTCATCAAAAAATCCTATTCGCTAATTTTATTTTTCTCGACGTTTCAAGCCATTCTGAATTGAATGAGACCCAATTTGAAAAAAGTATGTGTGTGTGTGATTTCTCAAAAACGACTGACCGATTACAACAATTTAAAAGCCATTCGATGTATCTCGATGAGGACTAGCATTTCTCAGTTTTGTGCGACGATCGCTCAAGCCGTTTTCTTTGTAATTTGGAAAAAAGTGTTAAACTTTTCGTCCACATTTAAACTATTACTGCCGAATCGATTTTAAAAAATCAAAAACTGTACGAAATATATTATTTGGAAAAAATACTGATTAGTTTTAGGTGAAAATCTACCGAGCCGTTTTCTTGAACTGTTGAAAAAAAAAATAAGGCGATTTTTATGGAACTTTTTCTGGCTATATATATCATGGTCTTATAGAACATACTGAAATATAACGGCCTTACGACAAGTAGTTTAATTTTAAAAATTTATCAAAGTTTGAGAAAATGAGTAGTTTTTTTGACGTTTGTGAAAATTAAAATTATACGATTTACTTGGTATAATGATAAAATACTTCGTCTTAATGAATATCCTAAACCATTAAAGTCCAATGAAACTGGTTCAATTAAAAAAATTATTGATTTTAGAAAATTTGCTTTAAGAAAATACTCCGAGTTAACGTGTTCGTTCGTTTTCGAAGATGTGTAATAAATTCACTCGAAATACTTTTATTCACTCAAAATAATTTATATTTATTGATTAAGTCGATTATTTACACATATCGGAAAGTTCATGTAACTTGCCACAAGGCAAAATACCAATACCAACTAGTTTATATTTGTACTATCAAAATAAAATTTCAAAATTTCTTATTATACCAAAAATACTATTAACTGTTAAAAAACAACATAAAAAATATGTATTTGTGTTGAATGTATTTGTGTGCTTTGAATCTCATCATCATATTTTTTTTAATAATGTAATATTTACGGCTTTTTCAAACAAATCGAATTATAAATGTTTTATAAAGAATCAAATTAAAATGTTGATGGAACGTTATATGTTAATTATATAACATAGTTGTATTGAAAATACTGATACTTATCGTTAGAAGAAATTTGTAAACGGCGCTGTCTAAAACATAAATTTAAACTTGTTTATTCCAGTATTTTCATTTAATTAACTTTTGTCTCAAAGTCAAAATATAAGCAGCATTGTGCAGCCAAGGGCAATTTTATTGAAAATAATAAGGCATCATCATTTCATAAGACTTATTATTATATCAATTATTTGATAAAAACTGATAAAAATTAATTTAAAATATATTCTTTGAGAATGATATGTGCTCTAACTACTATAATATTAAAATATATTATTTTAATTTAATACTTACAACTAGTGCATCCTGTGCTGCATTTAGCTGAAACAAAAATCAAACATAAATTAGTTATAAACGAATTAAATGGACAAAAGAAAGCTTATCTTCATAACACAATATGTATATAGACATGCATTATTCTCTCATATTTCCATAAAAACTCTTTGAAATTTCTTTATCTTAAGCAA